GAGTTCAGCTGAACCATCCAACATTCACAGAACAAGATGAATAAAACCAGCAGGCTCAACATTTCAGCGTCTTCTTCTCCTCCAGGCTACAGCACCGGTCACTCCCGCTGCTCCAGCCTGACCGACCTCAGCCACCACCGGAACGCCTCGTCCAGCAGCGGCGCGTCCTGCGGCGCCGCTCAGCCCGCCGCCCCCGCCAAGCCGGAGCGGCCGCCCCCGCCCTGCGCCGCCGCCCTGCTGTCCCACCGCTCCTCCAGGTGGGTTCTCACCTGTCCCGGCACGCTGGCCGAACCCAGACGTGTCGGCTCACATTCCTGCCCAGCAGGAGAAATGGGGAGCAGATCGGATCAGGATGAGATTCCCATCGGCATTCTGGGTATTTTTAAAGGCACAGTTTGTAACTTTGATGAAAATCTGATTTTATATGAAAACTCAAACAGTTTGATCGATGTCCTACTATTTCTACTGTGTGAAGAAATCAAACCAAGGACAGCCAATCAGAGCCAGGGTCGGGGGGGGGCTTAATGCTGTCAATCACTTTCATGTACTCACTGCTAAATGTGCTAATGGAATAGAAAAACTGTTTGGCCACCGTCATTGGTGCAAATGCTAACAAGCGTCAGCATGCATGGCAGGTTATGCAAGCAGCAGCTTATCAGAGCAAGGGATTCGGTTGATTGACAGCACTAAGACCCGCCTCCCGGCTCTGATTGGTTGTTTCTAATTAGCTGGTGCTAATTCTTACAAGTGACAAACTGCAGCTTCAGGGAGATGGCAGGCAGCATTCAATGACTGATGATGATGATGATGAACAGGAGGAAGAAGGACACCGTGGAGCGCCAGCGGAGCTGCGTGGACGACACTCGCATCGACGCCGACGACATCGTGGAGAAAATCGTTCAGAGTCAGAACTTCTCGGCCGGCAGCAGCGACGAAGGTTCAGATCTCAATATGAACCAATCAGCTGTCAGCTCAGAGTCTATGAACCAATCAGCTTTCAGCTAAGAGTCTATGAACCAATCAGCTTTCAGCTCAGAGTCTATGAACCAATCAGCTTTCAGCTCAGAGTCTATGAACCAATCAGAATCCAGAGTGAAACAGGAAACATTAATCAGCCATAAAGAGGAAACATGTTAAATCAAAGTGATTCATTTGATCATTTATTGGTAATTTCTGGTGTTTGTTGTTGTTTCCAGCTGTTGGACTTAGAAATTCAGATCAAGGTTTGTTTTTGTTAATTAAGGTCAAAGTTCAAACTCTAATTTAAATGTTAATTACAGCGTTTGTAATGAATTAATTGAAAAGTTATACTTGAAGTTTTTCCCCAGTAATTATTTATATTTATTCCAGCTGATGAACATCTTCAGTTTTTGTGTTAACTGCGGTAACCATGGTAACCAGGTGGACGTTGTCATGTGACTCTGGGCTCTGTTTGTCCTCAGACAGCCACCTGAGACTGTTTGTCAGTAAGGACGGGACCACGGCCCTGAGCGGGACGCAGATCGCCACCAGGTAGGGCTCCAGAACCAAACAGAACCCAGCAGAACCAACCAGAACCAACCAGAACCAAACAGAACCCAGCAGAACCAACCAAAACCAACCAGAACCCAGCAGAACAAACCAGAACCAACCAGAACACACAAGAACCAATCAGAACCCAGCAGAACCAACCAGAACCAACCAGAACCCAGCAGAACCAACCAGAACCAATCAGAACCCAGCAGAACAAACCAGAACCAACCAGAACCAACCAGAACCCAGCAGAACCCAACAGAACCAACCAGAACCCAGCAGAACCCTGTAGAACCAACCAGAACCAATCAGAACCCAGCAGAACCAACCAGAACCAACCAGAACCCAGCAGAACCAATCAGAACCCAGCAGAACCAACCAGAACCAACCAGAACACACCAGAACCAACCAGAACCCAGCAGAACCAACCAGAACCAACCAGAACCCAGCAGAACAAACCAGAACCAACCAGAACCAACCAGAACCCAGCAGAACCAATCAGAACCAACCAGAACCCAGCAGAACCAAACAGAACCAACCAGAACCCAGCAGAACCAACCAGAACCAACCAGAACCCAGCAGAACCAAACAGAACCAACCAGAACCCAGCAGAACCAATCAGAACCAACCAGAACCCAGCAGAACCAACCAGAACCAACCAGAACCAACCAGAACCCAGCAGAACCAAACAGAACCAACCAGAACCCAGCAGAACCAACCAGAACCAAACAGAACCAACCAGAACCAAACAGAACCAACCAGAACCCAGCAGAACCAACCAGAACCAAACAGAACCAACCAGAACCCAGCAGAACCAACCAGAATCAAACAGAACCCAGCAGAACCAACCAGAACCCAGAACCTGACCCCATCTCTGCTTTCTGTCTGTCTTCCAGAGGAACGCCGGGCGTCTTTGAGCCGGTGGAGATCGAGACTCACTGAGGCTCCATGATGGAGGTTCTGACCCGTTTCCTCAGAACCAGCAGTTCCCGTCCGCTCCGGGTCGCTCCACTCACCTCCATTATCAGCTGCTTTTAAATATGAATAATCTGGATTATTCCAGTAGCTCCTGGCAGGATCCAGGCCTCCATGATTAATCCTGAATGTTGAGAATAATCCAGAATAATCCAGAATAATCTGACGGTCGGTGGGTAAAAACATTTCCTTCTGTTTATGTATTAAAACTCATAAAGGTATGAATTTATCCCAGTCAGATGTGAAGCTGCAGGGAGTTTTAATGTTTTTATTCTGAAACATTTCAGCTTCAGAGCCGGTTCTGACCCGGTCCAACAGAACCGCTCCGCTGTAAGACAACAAAGTTCTGCTACATTCATGATGACATCACAAAAAGTTTTATAACTCAGAGGATCATTTAACACTGAGGACACTATTATAATTTAATTATTATTATTATAATTATTATTATTATTATTATTATTATTATTATTATTATTATTATTATTATTATTATTATTATTATTATTATTATTATTATTATTATTATTATTATTATTATTATTATTATTATTATTATTATTATTATTATTATTATTATATTATTATTATTATTATTATTATTATTATTATTATTGTTATTATTATTATTATTATTATTGTTATTATTATTATTATTATTATTATTATTATTATTATTATTATTGTTATTATTATTATTATTATTATTATTATTATTATTATTGTTATTATTATTATTATTATTATAGTCTACGGGTTGATCAGTGTGTTGTTTGTATTTCACAGTTTTGCACATCCAACTTCTGAGGTTTATTATTAATAACCACTAATTATTAATAACCACTAATTATTAATAACCACTACAACAGGTTTTGAATCGCTGTTCTTTAATCTCTGCCGTTTTTCTAATGGAGAGAAAAATGATGAATATTTTCTCTGATCTAATCGCAGCTTCGATCCTCCAGATTTTATTCACTTATTTTCTTCAAATCCATTTAAATCACATTAAAGTTCCTTTCATAGTTTTTATTTGTAGCATTTAGCAGCTAATGTGTCGATGCTATCATTTATTATCCAACCTGAAAGTCACCATGTGCTGCTTGTATTATTTCATTTGACTTTTCGTTGCTTCATTTTAGCTTCTGGTTTAAGAATCTGTTTACTGCTGAGTCGCATCATGTAGCTAAAAGGCTAACTGTTCTTAGCCGCTTGTTTGTATGGAACCACAGAAGTGCCACAACAAAGAAGAGATATTTTAAAAAGAAACATTTGTCTTTTACTTGTTTATATAATTATTAAATAATTCCTTTGGTGAAATATTTCAGCCAGTAACTTGGTGCTAAAAATATGCCAGGTGAATTTAAACTGTCTAGGGATTAGCAAACATTCATATTATTATTATTATTAAAAAAGAACTATAATGAAGTGTGGTTGCTTGAGAGGAAATCACTTTTGGTGTTGGACTGAATTCCCACATTAATATTCTGTTCTTTTATTTTTATCCTGGTTTTTGTAATATTTCACACATTTATTCTTTTTGTGGCACTCTTAGGATTCCATACAAAGAGTAGATTTAAGTTTCCTAGAGCAAGACTGACATCTTCAGAGATAAATTATTGTTCTGGTTTCCGCAGTGATTAATTATTAGTGCCGTCAAACTGAGGAGGAAAAGTTTTTCTGCTGGATCAGAAACGTTTTTCACTCCCGTCAGAATCAGCTCGGTTTTTATGCATGCAGATGTTTCTGTGGTTCTGTCGGGCTCAGACCCACAGCTGCTCCAGGACAAAGCCCGGCCTGTTCCAGAACCAACAATAGACAGAGAAACGGACCTGAACGGTTTGGTTTGTGGTTCTGGATGCGTGGACGGATGCGTGCAGGTCACGCGTTCACTCCCTCCGCCATGTTTCACATCGCTTTAATAAAAACAGTAAAAACTGAATATGTGATATTTATCTGCTCCGTCTGACCCAGACAGACGCTCAGATTTAGAATCAGAAACATCTGAAGCCAGCAGGCTGGTTCTGGTTCTGGTTCTGGTTCTGGTTCTCACTGGATCTTAAACACTGGATTAATTACAGTGAAACCACTGAACTGTATTTTAGACGAACGTCCATCAGATGTATTACCTGTTATTTTTACACAAAGTGTTTATTTTTATTTTGGAGAAAAGGGTTTTAAATATTTCATAATGATTCAAATGGAACTGATGAATGAGATTATGATTTATATTTTAAGTGTTGTGATGAATTAAAGTGTTTGTTAAAGGGAATGTACTCAATGATTTATTCACATCATGGTTTTATTACGCTGATCTAAATGTAAACTGTTATTTTGGGTAAATGGTTGTGTTTGTTATTAATGTTCAAACAGATTTAACTATTTACATTCCTTGTTGTGAAACAATTGTTATTGTGTGAGTTTATCTGTTATTTTTGTACATGAACATGGACAAAAATACCCCAAGCGCTAACTAGCTTAAAGCGTTAGCGCTCGGGAAAAGTTGTGATTCATTTTATTTTGTGCTTCATATTTTCATCTACATTGAACTTTAAAAAATTATTTTTCTTTTATTTATGTTCAGAGCTTTACTAAAATATTCACAACCTTTTCCACATTTTGTAGCATTACAAACAAACGTAAAGAGACAGCAACACAAAGCGCTGCGTGAAGCGTAATGAGAATGATGCATCGTTTTCAATATTTTTACAAATTGGTTGTTAAAAATGCACTAAGGTTTTAGTGTGAATATGTCAAAAATAAAATTCTTTTTTATTTTGGTTGAAGTTTTTTCTTTGAGTCTGATGTAGATTATTTTTTGGTAACTAAACTGAAGATCAGATCTTTTGTATCTAATCTGAAAGTATTACGGTGAAATTGCACCGTAGAACCGTTAGGGGGCGACGGAGAGCTGAGCCTTTCCGGTAGGTTTAGGAGAAGAAGTAAGAATCCGGAAGCATTGACAAATAATCCCTCTCTACGTGTCTGTAAACATGGTAAGAAATATAAATAAAGTAATCATCAAACATTTATGCTGAAAGACAGATTTAAAATGAAATGTTTGCGTTTAAGTCAGACCGGAAGTTCCGGAGGTGAAGCATGAAGATAAAGTTGTTTTTAAGAGGTTAGCCGGTTAGCTAACTGCAGCCTCGCATTAAGTGTGAATCTGTTTTAGTGTAATACAAACTATTATATAGTTTTAATAACTAGGTTGGTTTCAGTCTTAACTGATCATTCGCAGATAATTTCAAGTTAATTATCTGCGAATCGTTTTTAAATGATTTGTTCGTGTAACTTCTTCCTCTGTTCAGACAACTTTTATTTATTTGTTAAAAATAACTCCAGATTTATAAAACTGTTCAGCGCCGAATTCAAGAAGAAACGTTGTTTGCTCAGAAAATACGTTTTGTCATCACCTTCTTACTCAAAAATCTCGTTTTTGTCTAAAATGTTCAATTATTTGAAGGGAATTCCGGACTGGACTGAACCAATGTTCCGAAAAAGGAACATTTTGCATGCAGGATGTTTAAAACAAGCAGGATGCCACTGGCCCTCAGGGGCCCACTGTGGGCTCCCCTGATTTAGCAGCTGCACCTGTTCGTGTTTATGATTCTGTCCAGACTCCAAGAAAATAATGAAATCTAATTTCATACAACCTGAATGTTTCTGTCAGATTTTCCCCTCAAAAGGTTGAAAATGAAATAATTACTCGTTTTTCCAGGTCTAAAGGTTTCATCCATCTGGCCGTCATAGATGGCCAGGTTTTTCCAGGTTTTGTCCTTGTGTCCCAGCTTTTCCCAGGTTTTGTCCTTGTGTCCCAGGTTTTCCCAGGTTTTGTCCTTGTGTCCCAGGTTTTTCCAGGCTAGAGCCGGAGCAGAAACCTGTCTGGTGAACTCCCAGTGAAGGGAATGTGTTTGCTGTATTTCCAGGCTACAGGAGCGGATCAGGCGGTCGGGATGAGTCTGGTTCTGTTCAGCCTGCTGCTCTTCTCGTATTACACTGTCTGGGTCATCATTCTGGTACGGGACCTGATCCTGGGAGAGAAATGAACCCACTATTATCAATCTGAACGTCTAATTACTGGATGTTATTATAAATTCAGTCTCCGTGTTTCTCTGCAGCCGTTCGTCGACGGCCGCCACGTCCTTCACAGATATTTCCTTCCTCGGGAATATTCGGTCATCCTGCCTGGAGTCGCTGCGGTGCTGCTGCTGCTCTGCATAGGTCAGAGGTCATGTTTCCTCTACCGGTTCTGGTTCTGTCCCATCAGCTTTAACTCTTAATATTAATTCATTCAGTGTGTTTATGTAGCTAACAGGTTCAAACTGTCTCATGTTGAGACAATCAGTCAATAAAATTTCACATTTGGTTTTTAATAAGCAGAACTGCATGTTTCAGTTTCATAATAAAAGCCCAAACTGATGCAGGAATCAGATTTTTAGTTGTTTCTTGGTTCTGAAGGTTTTTGGGTCTCATGTTCTGTTCGGTCCGACAGGAACCTTCACTGCCGTCATCCTGTGGAAAAAACCGCAAACCACAGAAAACCGACTGAGTTCAGGAAGTTCTGCGTTTTCTTTTGCTCTGGACTCAATCTGACAAACTCTGGCTCCCCCTAGCGGCCATTCTGTCCCGATGACGTCAGAGACTGTGCCGCAGGAATGACGTCACAGTTGAGCTGATTGATAATGAGGAAATCTGTAAATATTTGTGGAATTTGTGTACAGATTGTTTCTCTTTTGTTTACATTGAAATAAAATAAAATTTTTGCTCCTTAAAATTATTTGTGTCTAAATTTTTCAGATCAAACAAATAATTGAAACAAAGTCAAATTTAATTTATGTAGGAAATAAATTGTTTCTGTGAGAAAGTATTAATATTTCTTACGTCTGCTTAAAGCTTATTTGAATCTGACAGGTGAAACTCAAAGGTGTATTTATTCATTATTGAATTATTAAAATTGTTCTTTAATTAAACGTAGATCTGTAAACTGCAGGTTTACAGATCTATTTTCTGAACTGGATCCTCAGATTTTTTTCTTATTCCAACAAACATAAAATACAAATTTTTCTGAAAAAAAAATCAGAAATAAACATTTTATTTGTTTTTAGCTTGCGCTGCATTAATGCTTCTGTCCAGATGGGGGCAGCAGATCCAAACTTTAAATCTGTAGAAAACCGAAACCATCGATTAAAAACTTTGTTTCCAGGTGGAAATAATGCAGTTTCATGTTTCTGAAATGATTAACTGGATTAATTGATCATCGAAATAAAAGTCAACTAATTTATGAACTGACACTATAAAAATTTTTTATCAATAAAATCACGAAGGAAACTAAAAAGGAAAATAAAGAACATTGTGTAAAAACACACAAAATATTATGAAACTAAAGTTTAAAAAACATTGAAAAATCTTAATAAAAAAAGAGCTCTGATATTTCATAAAATTGCTAATGAATCTGAATAATTATTTACTTCCTGAATTTTAATGCAAAGTTGCAGAAAGTAAAGAAAAGTTCAGCAGAACTTTGATTTCATTAAATTATTCCATAACATATTCATAAACCTGAACGTTTTTAGCCCAGTTCAAAGTTCGGAACCGATGGAAACTCCTGCAGAAGGACCAGCTGCTGGTTCCGGACTGGTCCGCCCGGCTGGGCCGGGCTGGGCCGGGCTTTTAATTTGAAGGGACGCTGCTGCTGTGGAGCAGGAGCCCATCAGCCCGCAGAGCCAGTCGGTGTCAGGTTCTGGGTGTGACCGGATCCAGGATCAGTCCGGGCCCGGTCCGGCTGCGGCACAAGAACCAGAGGCACCGGACCGAACCGGAACCACAACCAGCAGAACTCACTGTGCGGTGAGCAAAATAATATTATACTAAGATAGATAGATAGATAGATAGATAGATGGATGGATGGATGGATGGATGGATGATGGATGGATCATTTAATAAATGCTGACGTTAACGTGCAGATCATTTGAATGTTTCTGATTGGCTGATGATGAGAGGCCGGAAGTGATGCTCCCAGCTAAACAAACTCTGAGGTGAGCTGACCTCCTGACTCCAGGACCGAACCGGTCCGGACCGAGCCGAACCGAGCCGAACCAGAGCTTTGTTAGTCAAATGAAGACCGGAGGTCTGAATCCTGATGGGAGAAAATCTTTGCAGAGCAAAGAGACAGAAAAGTTACTCTGTGAAACAGCAACGATCATATTTTATATTTTCACTGTTATTCATTCATTTAAATATCCCATCTTTAAGTTAAATACCTGATTAGCAAGCTAATTGTTTAGCTTAGCTTAATTAGCGTAATTTATGTTAACTACAAATTTTGTCGTCTTACATTATTGCAGCTTTTTTGTTCCTGCAGTTTAATTTTTCTTTCAGTGTTGACACAAAAAGAGAAAAATAAATAAACTAAACATGGAGAAAATATTTATCCTTTCATCATGAAGTGGTTCAGTTCCACAGCTACGCTAACGTCAGCTAACTTTAGCTAACTCAAGTTAACTTCAGCTAACTCAAGTTAACTTTAGCTAACTTCAGCTAACTTAAGCTAACTTCAGCTAACTTAAGTTAACTTTAGCTAACTTCAGCTAACTTTAGCTAACTTCAGCTAACTTTCGCTAACTTCAGCTAACTTTAGCTAACTTCAGCTAACTTAAGTTAACTTCAGTTAACTTCAGCTAACTTTAGCTAACTTTCGCTAACTTCAGCTAACTTAAGTTAACTTTAGGTAACTTCAGCTAACTTTAGCTAACTTCAGCTAACTTTTGCTAACTTCAGCTAACTTTAGCCAAATATTAGCTACATTTCTAAAGTAAAACAGATGAAACCTGTCTTGCTTTCTTCCTTTCTGCTGTTTATCTCGCCACACCTGGACATTTTGTTCCTGTTTAGGCTAGCATGTATCCGTTAGCGCAGATAACCTTTGACATTCCTTCTTTGTGTTCCTCCAGGTAGCTCTAATGTTGGGGATGAACCAATCAGACTCAGAGAAAGCAGTGACATCATCAGCAGTTACTTAAAGGGCCAGTCGTCTTGTTAGTTGTAGAGGTTTGATCTCTGGCTGCTCTGCTGAAACGTGTTAATGAGCCGCTCAGCTCATCAGGCGCGGCGGTGCGCGGCGGCGCGCGGCGCGGCCCGCAGAGCTTTCATCCCATTGTGCTGGTCACCATGGCAACCCAGTTACAGACTGCCGTGTTTGGGTTTTGCCGGCCTCCTCTCTGCTTTCTGCAGAAAGCTTTCAGCGCCTCACGCTGCTGCTCTGCTCTCTGCCCAGATGGAGACGCCCGGACGGCCGCCGCCGCAGCCATCCGGCACGGTGAAGCGGCGGCGCTGGGGCGGCCTGAGGCAGCAGTGGAAACTTCTGGGTCTGTTTGAGATCGACCAGCAGCACGACTTCTACGGCCTGACCTGCAGGATGAAGGAGGGCCTGGCTGCAGCCATACACACCTCCACACACACACCGGCAGCGGTGAGTAGCAGCGGCAGCAGCTTGCATGGCAGAAACCACAGAGGAACGCCTGCTGGCTTCCCAAACCCGCCCACAGGTCAGAGGTCAGCAGCCTTTATGTTTTGGTCTCAAATCAGTTCAGTTCAGACCAGATAAGATCAGATCAGTTCAGTTCAGATTAGTTCAGATCAGTTCAGTTCAGTTCAGATCAGTTCAGATCAGACCAGTTCAGTTCAGTTCAGTTCAGTTCAGTTCAGATCAGTTCAGTTCAGTTCAGATCAGATCAGATCAGTTCAGTTCAGTTCAGATCAGATCAGATCAGATCAGTTCAGTTCAGTTCAGATCAGTTCAGATCAGTTCAGTTCAGTTCAGATCAGTTCAGATCAGTTCAGATCAGTTCAGTTCAGTTCAGTTCAGATCAGTTCAGATCAGTTCAGTTCAGACCAGATAAGATCAGATCAGATCAGATCAGTTCAGTTCAGATCAGATCAGATCAGATCAGTTCAGTTCAGATCAGATCAGATCAGATCAGTTCAGTTCAGTTCAGATCAGTTCAGATCAGTTCAGTTCAGTTCAGATCAGTTCAGATCAGTTCAGATCAGTTCAGTTCAGTTCAGTTCAGATCAGTTCAGATCAGTTCAGTTCAGACCAGATAAGATCAGATCAGATCAGATCAGTTCAGACCAGATAAGATCAGATCAGATCAGATCAGTTCAGTTCAGATCAGATCAGATCAGTTCAGTTCAGTTCAGATCAGATCAGATCAGTTCAGTTCAGTTCAGATCAGTTCAGTTCAGTTCAGTTCAGATCAGTTCAGATCAGTTCAGTTCAGACCAGATAAGATCAGATCAGATCAGATCAGTTCAGTTCAGATCAGATCAGATCAGTTCAGTTCAGTTCAGATCAGATCAGATCAGTTCAGTTCAGTTCAGTTCAGATCAGTTCAGTTCAGTTCAGTTCAGTTCAGTTCAGTTCAGACCAGATCAGATCAGTTCAGTTCAGTTCAGTTCAGTTCAGATCAGTTCAGATCAGTTCAGTTCAGTTCAGTTCAGATCAGTTTCAGATCAGTTCAGATCAGTTCAGTTCAGTTCAGTTCAGATCAGTTCAGATCAGTTCAGTTCAGTTCAGTTCAGATCAGTTCAGATCAGTTCAGTTCAGACCAGATAAGATCAGATCAGATCAGATCAGTTCAGTTCAGATCAGTTCAGATCAGTTCAGTTCAGTTCAGTTCAGATCAGTTCAGATCAGTTCAGTTCAGACCAGATAAGATCAGATCAGATCAGATCAGTTCAGTTCAGATCAGATCAGATCAGTTCAGTTCAGTTCAGATCAGATCAGATCAGTTCAGTTCAGTTCAGTTCAGATCAGTTCAGTTCAGTTCAGTTCAGTTCAGTTCAGTTCAGACCAGATCAGATCAGTTCAGTTCAGTTCAGTTCAGATCAGTTCAGATCAGTTCAGTTCAGTTCAGTTCAGATCAGTTCAGATCAGTTCAGATCAGTTCAGTTCAGTTCAGTTCAGATCAGTTCAGATCAGTTCAGTTCAGACCAGATAAGATCAGATCAGATCAGATCAGTTCAGTTCAGATCAGATCAGATCAGTTCAGTTCAGTTCAGTTCAGATCAGATCAGATCAGTTCAGTTCAGTTCAGTTCAGATCAGTTCAGTTCAGTTCAGTTCAGTTCAGTTCAGTTCAGTTCAGACCAGATCAGATCAGTTCAGTTCAGTTCAGTTCAGATCAGTTCAGATCAGTTCAGTTCAGTTCAGTTCAGATCAGTTCAGATCAGTTCAGTTCAGACCAGATAAGATCAGATCAGATCAGATCAGTTCAGATCAGTTCAGATCAGTTCAGTTCAGATCAGTTCAGATCAGTTCAGTTCAGACCAGATAAGATCAGATCAGATCAGATCAGATCAGTTCAGTTCAGTTCAGATCAGATCAGATCAGTTCAGTTCAGTTCAGATCAGATCAGTTCAGTTCAGTTCAGTTCAGTTCAGTTCAGTTCAGTTCAGTTCAGTTCAGTTCAGATCAGATCAGTTCAGTTCAGTTCAGATCAGTTCAGTTCAGTTCAGTTCAGTTCAGTTCAGACCAGATCAGTTCAGTTCAGTTCAGATCAGTTCAGTTCAGTTCAGTTCAGTTCAGTTCAGTTCAGACCAGATCAGATCAGTTCAGATCAGTTCAGATCAGTTCAGTTCAGTTCAGATCAGTTCAGTTCAGTTCA